ACCAACTCCACACCGGATGTGGAGTCATTATGTGCCGCAAACACGGCTTAATACAAACTTTAAACAGTAACAAATTAGACCTGCAGCAACAGAATGGATATGTGCCTTCATTATCTCTGCTCTGCAAATAAAACTTTCTAATGTAAAAAAAGTACAATTTAAAAAAAAGTGCAATTTAAGAGGGAATAAGTCTAGCAGAGTCTGCTAATTCAGCTTTTTAAACAACTGCTCCGTGATTTCTGAAACAAACGGCTCCCCTCCCCGTAACATTTGCAGATGTCCCAGCCAGGCCCAAGCCATCCACAGGGTACCCCCTGGCCTCACCCCAGCTTGGCTGGGCCCCAGGGTGCCCTGCTGGGGGGACAGAGGGGCCCAGAGCCTGGGCACTGGGCTCAGCCTCTTCCCTGCAGGGTTCCCAAGCGGCCTCCCTGTCCACCCCCACCCCAGCCCAACGGCCCTTGCTCACTTGAAGAAGTCGTCCTTGCAGTAGACGCTCTCACCCCTGCTGAAGCAGCGCTCGGCCAGGGGCGTGTGGCAGTCGCTGCACTTGAGGCACTTGCTGTGCCAGTGACGGTCCAGTGCCTTCAAGATGAAGCGGTCCAGGATGTGCTGGTCACAGCCGGCACACAGCGGGATCTCTGCGGGTACAGGAGTGGCCCCGTTGAAGGAGCTCCCAGACCTTCTCCGAGGCTGAGCCGGGCTCCCCTCCAGCCCTCAGGACCCAGAGCAGTCAGGGACCCCCATCCCCACACATGCTCCGCGATTCAGTGGCTGCCTGGCTCCCCAGTGCAGGAGGGAACTGGAACTTGTCCCCCAGCTAGGGGCAGCTAAAGCAAACCGAAACGGTTTTAGAAATGTGTCTGGGCGCAGGACAGTGCCCCGGCCGTCCCAGGAGGCCGAATGCTGCTGATTACAAGACGTGTCCAGTAAGGGATGGACGCTGAGCTCAATGCGCACTCAAGCCCAGGGATCTGCTCTGGACAGAACACGGGAAGCATGTTCTTCCTATCCCCCGAGGCTGGCGCAAGTGGGGCATGGGGCACCTCTGTCCGACCACTTCCTTTGCTTCTGGCAGTTAAGCATCCTGGCTTCACCCCGTAGAATCTTAGCAAGTGCAGTGCCCGCCCTGGCCCTCCTGTCTGCTGGCCTGCAGGGTAAAACTGACGTCCTTCCCATCTGGGCAGCTGTGGAGTACTTATGAACAGGCTGGCATGGCTCGGGCACAGGTGCCAGGGCACACAGTGGACGGATTGCATCTGCACACCATCAGTTACTCCAAGGAGAGCCTGCAGTCACTGGGGAAGCCCAGGGAGCCCCGCGGGGTCAGCAGAGGCCCTCAGGAGTTTGTGTCTGAAGACTCCGTGCTAATTTAACACTGGTCCCTAAGAGGAGAGAGCGGCGTGTAGGACCGGTTCCAGATGTGGGACCCCATGCCGCACACGCATCTCTGGCTGTGCACAGCGAGCTCCCGGCCCGCGCCGGTGGGTGGAGGACTCTGAAAGGGCTCTTTCTGGCTGAGGAAGGAAGACCTTGCAACCTGGCTCCTGCTCTGGCGGGAGATCTGCGATGGATCTGTGGCCCCGCATGGGGCAAAGCCACGGGCTTGGATGCGGAGCAAGAGGACCCGCTTTGTGGTAAGGAACCCCTCACGGGCGGCGACCTCGGGACTCTCACAACACCAAATAGGAATCGAGCTACGGGGTGCCCGCGCAGAGCGGATTCAGCACCGCGGTCCGGACAGCGCCCCGGGCAAGCACACCGAACCCCGCCTGGGGCAAAAGCCATTCCGCTCCCGGCCACCCGCGATGCCAGCGATCCTTGCGTCCCCGCTGTCCCTGCGCCCCCTGCGCCCCGGCACCTCCATGATCCCCTCGATCCCCGAGGACCCCTCCGGCCCCGAAGCCCCGCGCCCCGGCTCACGCTGCCTGGCGACTCAGGTGGCGCGGCCTCGGCCCGCTCCGCGCCCCTTCCGAGCTCCCTGCTGCGCCCCCATGCTCCCTCCAGCCCCGGCTGCCAACCCCTCCCAGGAGCCCGGAAAATAAATTCCCGAACCGAGATGGGTTCGGCGCGACCCCACGCCCGGTGCGACCCCTTCCGCGGCCCAGTGCGCTGCTCCCAGCGCGCCCGCCGCTCCCTCTCCAGGGCCAAGAGCAGAGTGGACACCGGGGCAGCTGAGACCGTGGCCCCGGGGCGGGCTTCCCGCGTGGCCGGGCCTGGCCAGCAGCGGGCCGTGGCCGGCGAGGCGCGCGGGTGCGGTCGTGGGACCTGTGTCGAGAGGTCCACGTCCCATTGCGCACGGCCCCTGCCCAACTCGTCCCTGGAGGGCAGGGAGCGTCGGGAAGCTCACGGCCGCCTTGGGGACCCAGGGCTGGCCCGAGGCGGTTCCTGGACCCCCGAGGGCTACCGCCTGGCCCCGCTCGCGGCCGTAGCACCCACCTCGGCGCAGGTCCGCCCTCCGCGCCAGCAGCGCCAGAAGCAGGTCGCCGCCCGCGGACTCCCGCGCC